CAGGTGAGGTGGGGTTTTCTTACATTACCTGTTATGAAAGAGGCGGGTGGAAGGGGGAGGGAATGGGGAGGTGGGAAAGGAGAACAGGGAGGGCGAAGAGGGAAAGGGGAAAAGAGGGAAGTGGGGAGGGGGTCATAAAACCACAAAAAACAACACCCAAGGCTCTTTCAACCCAACATCAACAGCTTTCTTGAAGCCTAAAATTGAGGATATGGTGAACTGGGTGAATAAGCAAGTTTACTTGACAGGGCTGCTCTGCATCTCTGCCCAAGAAATCCTGAATTACACATATGGAGACACAAATGGAAAATTGAATTTATTTATCACCTCAAATTGATTAAAGCTACCAAGTGCAATCTTCAAAGTATTGTTTATCATGTAAAGAGACCTCATCATTAAGGAACTTTTGAATATAAATGGAGCTAAAAATGCTTATGTACGAGAGTATTTCTAAAATTAAGACAGCTGATTTTAACATAGCTGTGGTTTGTCAATATCTATAATAATAATTATTATAACGTTTAATGAGTAACTTTCAGCTGTTTGTCTATCAATAAAGGTATCTGCCCTACAGTGAACCTGAACAATATTAAAAAAGCTCTTTCCTCACAGGGAAGCAAACAATAAAACTCTTCTTGGTACCCAATGTACAGTTAGTTTACTGTTGTGTTATGCTATACAGTTAATGTCCTTTATTTTTCACTGAATGGGGCACAGAAATAGATAAAGTGAAGCTCTGTTGTAGAATATTCAATGCAAGGGTGGCACTGTTAGGTGTTGCCATTCTCAAATTTTCATTCAAAGCATGCATTCCAAATTTAATCCTTATCCCAGATCACATGTTTGAAGACATTTTCTTTCCAAGCAATGTTTTGGCAATGTTTGTGATTCCAATGACAACATTTTGAAATTTCCGGAGAAAATAAGACATTAGAGTACATGTTGATGTATGTTGTTTTCCTGCTGTTTATCGGTCTACAAGTTTACAAAAGTAATGATTTCAACCAATTATCCAAATTTAACCAGCATATTTTTTCTCAAAGCATTTCAGCTAAAACAAAGTAATAAAACAACTATTCAATTAATGAGATGATGCAGAGAGTGCTTTCAAGTTTATAAATCTTTTCTGTTTTTACACATGTATGAGAAACAGTAATTCACATAATTAAAATAATTATCATGGCAAAACTGATTTAAATGTGGCATATTGGTATGTGTACATACACATATACAAATATTTACAATAGATGTTAAAACTGTTCCAATGCATGTACATGTAAGGAAAAAAACAAATGCCTACACAGTCAAGTATAACCACAACATTAACAGGCTATCACTTTGTAAAATGAATGTGCATTTGAACTATAAAGTAAGTAAAAACAGTTCAATTGCCAAATGCTGCAAGAAGCTTCCAGCTAATAAGGCAAAAGGTTATCTGCTGCCAAAGAAGTACCACAACATTTTTTTTATTTCAACAACAGTCTTGTGGAACATACAATAATTTGAGGACCAAAGTACTGTCTGGATATCTTAGGCCACCTGACCTCAACACTTCAATATTAACTTACCCCACAACTTACATGTAGAGGCCAATAACAAGCCACGTAAAATAAACTTTAAAAAGTAAACTGTACAAAATAAGAACCTACAGTAAAATATTGGACTAAAAACAATGTAAACTACAGTAACTGTACTAAAACTAAGAGAGGCATGTTAACATACCGAATCAAAATTTTGTCCTTTCGAAATTGAAATGTCTCCAAATGGTTTTTTCTGACGAACATTGATGCTGGATTCCTTGCTGAGCAGTAAGCAGCTGTAGAATTTGTAAGCTACTTGTTTCCGACTGCTCTTGTGTACCAAGCTACCAAAACCTACAGAGTCTTTTTTCTGGAACTCTCTCTTGAGTGTGTGCAGAAGCTGTTGGGTGCGTTTTGTCCACCGTCGATTTTCAAACTGTTCACTTGTTTCAGAGCTTTGCTGCTCTTCATTTGTTTGGGAGGCTGTTAATTCTTGTTCTAGTTCATTATCCTCAAGCTCATCTCGGTTTGGATAAATATCCTCCACACCATCAGCTAAGAATGGCTCTTCCTCTTCCACTGGCCGTTCGTAATTCTCAAGAGCAGTATCAACTGGTTCCTCTGGTAGCACAGTTTCATTGGCCTCTGTGTTTGCAAAAGATACTGAAGACCGTTTACTGCCTTCGTAAATTCCTGACACATCCCCTTCTTCCCTTGCTATTTCTGGTTCATCAACATCCATTTTTTCCTCTAACTCTGTGGTATCAGACTCACCATTAACTTCCTTTGTAAGATTTTGAACAAAAGAATCCACAACTGGCGACGCAAAGAACTCTGTGCCTGGTAGAGCAAAAAGCTTTTCTGCTGTTGATGAAATTTTGAGTTTCATCCTGCACTTCGTAGGAGGAGCAAGTGTAGCAGGTTTGACAATATCAGTTGTGTCAGCAAGTTGAGACTTGATGGTTTCGGTGGCTAAAATTTTTTCATCATCAACGATGAGTTTCCTCTTTCTGCGGCTACGCTTTTCTCTTTGAACAACTTCCACAGGCTCAAGAACAAAAGCCTCTGCTTCATTGTGTAACAGGGTTGTTTCTTTCGCAGTCTCGTTAACAGCTGTTGGGTTAAGAAGTAAACTCTGAATAAACTACAAAATTTGTAAGTTAATAACATAATTCCATAATAAGTTACACTTCTCTTTGATGCAAGTAAAGTAAAGGCACTTTCCATTCAACTCAAAATTTCAGTTCGAATTTCCAAAGTCTTTAAAATTGCGTAGCATAAAAATGCAAAACCAAAGCAAAGGCAAAACTTGTACTTTCAACACTCAAGAGAAAATCATCTATCCTGTTATCTAACCTGTCATTGCCATTGTAGGTTGCACACAGGGTTTCAACAGACTTATCAAAAAATATAATACCAACAAAACCATACCCTCATCTTGTGCAGGTTCAACAACTGGACTTTCCTTGTGTTCATCCAAGTTAGTATCTACTGGCTCTAGGGTAACATCTGCCGCAGCAACAGCAGTTGGCAAGTCATCAAAACCAGGTACCAGTGCATCGCCGCCACCACCACCAAGTTCATCTCCAAACCCATCAGCGAGGAAATCCACACCCTCCCCACCGAATCCATCATCTCTGAGTGGTTCATCAAGGGCTATGTCTAGAGCAAAAGCCAATCAAGAAATTTGTAGTTAATAACATGTAGTACTGTATATTGACAGCATTGTACAGCATGTACATGTAGGTAGGGAAGAAAATGATTGACTGCAGTTATACTTCTTGGCACACATTGTACTCCTCACACATTTCTTGAAGTACATGTAAGTAACAGAATTGCATCAGATTATACTGGACATATACATGTATATGGAGCTTATGACAATGGCACCTCCAAAGACAAAGCTTAGTTAAAGATGAATTGATATTTTACCCTCCAAAATTGAATGAAGAAGCCTAAATACCTAGTCTGGTTCTTTCCAAAGTTGAATCACTGATTCCCTTTGGTTCTCCACCTTCAATTAAGCTTAATTTGGAAACATCATTTGACTGGTTAAGTGGTTCTTCCACAGAGGGCTCATGCCTAAACATTTCTGGTTCTAATTCCCCTTCAAACAGGATGTCTCCAAAACCATCATCGCCAATGAAGTTGTTTGTGATAATGTCTTCCTTCATGGTGATTTCCTCAATTCGGCCCTGGTTTAGAGTGAACTGTGCATGAATTTCAACCTCACTGCAAGACAAAAATGAAAATACAATACACAGTAAGCTGTGGAATAACAAGGAGCAATAATTCTACTTATTTGCCAATGTGTACATGTAAACTCAAACTGGCACCATACATAAATCCAATAATAAGGCCTGAGCTTCAATTCACATTATCAAGGACTTCTCGGTGTTTGTTATTATTATTATTATCATTTTGCCTTTTACTCAGGCCTACAGTAATAATTCCATTTATTACATTCATGAATATTTTGTGAATTAAAGTATAAAACTTCTGTCTACAACAAGAAATCGTAAACATTCATTCGGTCGTATTGCTGTGCAATTTTTGTATTTTATGAGTGATGCAGTGGGCATACATTAAGACCAGGTGCACTTATTCAGCACCACCAGTGACAACTTTGCTTCTTGTTTGCTTCATTTTTCCAAGTGGGAAGGGCTTATTTTCAAATAACCAATTTTATAGAGCATACATGTACACATTATCTATTGAAAAAACACAACAAATGAAGTACATATTATTAAGTTGTTAGATGGATCTGGAGCTTGGCCAGTGTAAAAAATAACTTAATGCCACTTACTTTAGTTCAGGTAATGTCATATCAAGGTCTGTGAAGACTTCTGGCATAGTGACAGCAGCAAATGCAAGTTCTCGTCCCTCTTCAGGTAGATCAACCACTCCAGGTCGAAAAGCCATTTTGATTTTTACAAAAGCCTCTGTGCAATCTGCCAGAAGATACTTAGTTTTCCTGGAATATATCCTTACAACTCCGAGAAGGAGGTGTCCTGATGTTCTCAGGGCAAGCTTGACTTTGGGTGAGATAATGCTCTCAACTGATGAGGGGAGATCTGTCTCAGAGACAAGCGCCTTGCTGAGTTTACGCTCCCAGTGGGCAGCCAGCCACACCCTGGCCAATGGGGCTTTTTTAGCCAAGATAAATTGATGGTAAAACATGGTGTTGGTCGTAGGGTGCTACAAACTATGCTCTTTCTGAAGGAAAAGAATAAAACATATATTAAGTTAAGTTTAGTGTCTTAGAACATGAAGTTTTGAAGCGTCTGCACTTAGCAAAAGATCTTTCTTTATAATAATTTGTTAGCAAATCTGCAATGCATGTACATCTACATCTACACATGGTTAATCTGAAGGGAAGCTTGTGTGGTTAACATTATGTGCAAGTTCCTTACACATTTGCCTGTAACAACAGTTTAGGAAACAGCCCTGACACTTCCACACATGTTGATGAACACCAACTATGGTTAGGAACTCACACATTGGTCAACATGTACAGAATTCCAAGCATTACCATGCCTCAATTGAACAAGCCGGCACTACTTCCAGCTCAAGATAAAAGAAACTTTGCAAAGCCTGTGGGGAAAACCCTTCCCTTGATTAATCAACAACTTCAGCACGCTAATTTTAAGTTACAGTATACCTTTAGGGATGTCTCACGTGCAAGTGATGTAGCACGNTTAATGTTAAGCTTGAATATTGCGCGGGCTATTTCGGTGACCGTTTCAAGAAGTAAAAAATAAAACTGAAAGAATCACTCTCATTATAGAGCTTGTAAAACAAGCCATTAATTTCGAATTACTGGAGGAATTAAGAAATAACGCCGTTTTAACAAATTCATCGCCATTCACACAAGCAAACAATTTCGGGCTATAAACAGGAAAATTGACGTTGAAGCGGTACATTTCAAATTCAGCCTTTGTCACGAAAATAAAGCTGGTTTTGACCTTAATGTGGCGTCTAACACATTTCTTTTGAGAAAAACCGTGGAAATTTTCAAGAACTCGGTTAAAATCGTCTACATTAGAGAACTGAGTAACAGATTTTATCCCCCGAAGCACACAAACAAGTACTGGCCAAAATGTTTGGGACAAGTTGAGGATTCGTAGCCTGTCAACAGCTTAGTAATTTCGTCGCAAACAAGCTTCAACGGACGATTTACAGAGATAAAAACGTTGTAAAACCGAATTAGAGGTAAAACAGTGAGGATTAAACACTAAAATAATCGACTTTCTGCATTTGTCAATAGCACATGAAGCGAAGAAAACGACGCCAAGCGAACCAAACTAGTATTGTGTTACTTTGTTGTAAGCGCGGAAATTTGGAACGCTGATAGTGCTACTAAAACTGAAAATACACCGAATGGGAACATCCCAACAGATGCTAAGGGCATAATTGCTTACTACTTACCTGTTTCAGGCCAAAATAAACTGCAAAAACAACCATAAAATTGCCTTTTTCGCCCTTATTATAATTCAAGATGGCAGCCAACATTCGAACGATCAACGAATTCCCGCCGAAATTTGCACATCACGTGACTTTTTACACGGCTACCAAGGAGCCCCGTCGTCGTGGTGACCGGCCGCGTTCTAGGCTTCCCCCCAGTTTTTTGCCGCCGAAAAAAGTTGCCGCTTCCCCCCGCGTGCAGGCTCGTCCATATTTTATTTCCGTTAACCATTTGACACTTTCGAAAGCCTTTTTTTTTTTTAGCCTTTTTACTTAGTTCATATTTTACCTGCTGGTTTTGCCCACAAAAATGTCTGTTCTGATCTGGTCAGGGATTCCGAGAAGCTAAGAACAATTGCTGGTTTTCGATTTCAGTGTCACGCAATTCAAAATAGATCAAAATAAAAATCAAAACCGGTCAATAGATAAAGTCCAGAATCTGGGAAATGAAAGAAGGTAAATAT